GCTGTGAAGTCCTGAATTATCAAAATGCTTATAAATATGCTTAGCTTTTAGCAAACCTCCCCTTCTCACCCACACCTCACCTCTCGCATGCCCACTAGAAAAGGATTTGGATTCTAGATGTGCTTCCAGTTAGAGTTTCCCTCTAGGTATTTGTTGCTTGGCATGTGGGTTCCAACACACACCAAAGACTCTGGGGCTACAACTAAGGCAGCATCACGTCTAAAGGAAGGTATAAATGTTTTTATTGTTCCTTAACCCTTGCCAACAAAGTAAAGACACAACATGTACCAGTGGCTTCCTGTGCTTGTGCCAGAGATCGTCGTACAAATAAGTGAGTGGGTATGAGGCACAGATAGAGGGGTGACCTTTACCAGCATCACTGACTGGGGCAAGGGCTTGCTGACAACCTGCAGCTCTTATGATAATGTGAGATGTAAAAACACTGTCATCTTCAAAGCACTTTGTACCCAGCACTAAGCGACACTGACAGGCATCTGAGAGGGAGCATTAGCCCCACTTTGCAGATGAAAGAAAGTCACACAGAGAATCAGTCAAGATTAGATTAATAGACATTGATGCCAGAGGAGCTATTATGGCTTGTCTGGAACTGGCAGCACAGAGCAGAGAGTTTCACACAGATTACCCCATTAAATCTATAACCTTTGTTTGGGCTTAGAAAAAGACCTCCAGAGCTGACAGGAAGACACAATGCCATCTTTAAGTGAAGTGCTTGCAGGGCACTATTGGAATTTCGTATTCCAGTATGTTTGTTTAACTTTTAGCTCCCTCATTTAGTTTTGTTTGAGTAATATTTTTTAAAGTGGCCTCTGTATTGCCTAAAACCTCCTTTGCATTCCGTTACCTGCAAATAATTCCCAAGCTGCTGCCTTCTCCAGAGCAAGCTGACAGCACTGAGTGGATTCCTTTAGCTCATTCTTTTAGGGAACAGGACTCTTCAGTATTTAAGAAGGTAATGGGTGGGTTTTGGTGTCCATATTATTTAACTTCTCTCCCACCTTGTCTGTTTTATTTCTATTTTTTAATTCTTAGCCCCTCTTGCAATGCCTGTAGTGTGAGAACCTTTGGGCATCTGAGTGCTCTAGGATTTGTAGAATTAGAGCCTTCCTTAGTAAGGTCTTATGTGCATTGCTGTTTGTGTGTAATGTAACACACATGTAATGGAACAGCCTCCCCAGGGACGTAGCAGAGTGCCCATCACTGGAGGTTTTCAAGATGCAGCTGGACAGGGAGCCAGGTGATCTCATGCAGGTTCCCTTTGCCATGAGCACTTGGCTCAGGTGGTCTTTTGAGGTCCCTCAACCTGGGCTCTTCTATGATTATATGAAAATTGTTTTGTGGACATGACCCGACAGGTGTGCACTAGAAGTTGTGTTCAATCAGGTCCTGGGTACTAAATCACAAGTTTCCCTGTTGAGAAGCGATTTGGGTCTTTCAGAATGACACAGTCTGTTTTAAACTGTCAGCTCTGTGGTGTTTCCCTCTACATCTCTAATCGATGTGTGATTATATGGCAGTGCATCAGTCAGGTTTATTAGGAGGTTGACTTGGATTGCATTAGCTGGCATTGAAGCCATCCAAACCAGCTGAGAGTACAATCAGCTAAAGCATCCACACACATTAATGGTGTAGACACAGGGCAGTTTGTGTAGATGGCTGGTTACCTGTCTTCTCCACTAAGTAGATTTTATTGCCCAAGAATGGACAAATGATGCATGAGAAGAAAAGAAAGAGCATTGCAAAAATCCTGTTGGAAAGGCTGCAATAAAGAGCAAATGACAAGGAATAAATGTTCCTGTTGTTAAAGCTCTGTACTAAAAAAACAAACCCTACACCATTACCAGCACTCAGAGTGTTCCTAGTATTGTAAGATTATAATGTGACTTTTAGAGAATAATATCAAGTGTATTACCAGTGCTTCAGTGTCTATAATATGACATCTGAGGTTTCTAAGCAATCAAGATGCTCCATGAGATGGTCATTTTAAGTGGGAAAATACTAATCACTGTCAGTTTCTCATTTCATCCACTACTGATCTGGATCTAAAACTGTGGCTCCCTTGTGCCATCAGGCCCCCAGCCAGCATGCTCTGTGACACCCAGGAAGCATATTTGCTAGGTTGCATTAGGCATCTGCAGTACTGACCTGGAGATGAAAGTACAACTGAGGGGCATAACAAAATGCAAACTGGGAATGGCATAATTAACATCCTCCTGTGTATTGTGCTCCCTGCTCGCTCCCCATCTGGCTTTACAGCTAAACTTCCTCATTTACTGTGACACAGTTCAGGAATGAGACATGCAAGCTTATTACCAGATAGTGTTCCTAATTTCTTTACAGTCTATGTGGGAATCCTCATGCCAGTTTATGCTCTGACTCTGGACTTCTTGGAACCATACAAATAGAAAAATGATGTGGTTGGATGGCGAGACATCTAAAGGCACAGCTAATCTGGCAGGTTAAACTCAGGCTTGCATTGCAGAATATGCGGAACAAGTACTTTGCACAGAGTATACACAGGGAGGTCTCAAGGAGGTTTTGGCCATGCATCATGTGCCTGAAATATACTGTGGAAATGAAATTGACAATTAAATAGCTGCACTTGTCTTAGATGCACAGGTTATCTCTGCATTGAGGTGTGGAACCCAGAGAGTCAGTGGCACCAGGCTGTGATTAAAGGGAAGGTCAAGACTGGGCAATGGCAGTGACCAGAATGTTTAGAATTGTTCCCTCCTTGTCCCCATGAGTTCTGAAGTGCTGAATGCTACCATCAGCAATGTCATCAGGTATTTGTCTCCTACCCCCCAGCACTCCTGTGACCAAATAAACTGTGCTTGGGGTGTCAGTTGTAGACATCTGTGAGGCAGGTGCAAGTCTGCAGTGTTCTGTTGTTCTGCAGGATGCCAATGAATATGAGAAAGCCATTCCTGTAAGCTGCAGGAGGTGAAGGAGCCTCCCAAATCCCACAGCTTTGGAGTGCTGCCCCTTCTAAGTTATGAGTCTCTTAAGGTGTCATTGAGCAGTGGCTGACTGCACCAATAGATTCCAGCACAGATGAGTTCAGCTGACACATGATGGAATTAGTCTGCCTTTGAGTCTTGGCTGTAATGGCAGTGATAATTTAATGTCCCACATTAACTGAATGGTGACAGTGACTCCTCAGAGCGCTGGCAAACTGGCAATTGCTTGATGCAGGAGCAGGACAATGATAACACAGTTAATCTTCTGCAGGGGAATGACAGTGAAAGACATGGCTTTTAGATTAGTTGTCATTAAAGTGAGACATCTGCCTCTGCAAGGCAAGTGGAATGTCCTCACTTATGCACACGGAAGCTCATTAAAGTTACTGGGTTTGTATGGCTGTGAGCCAGAGCCAAATTTCCACCAGGAGCTAAATCTGGGAAGCACAATGAATTAGACTGGAAGTCGGAAGATGACTTCCAGGCAATATGTCAGCTTCAGAAAGGTTACAGAATACTCTAAAGAACAAAATTCACAGGGAGCACAAAAGTATTTGGTAGTGGCTGGATAGAGCTCAGAGCTGATTAAACTGAAGACATTTAATCTTTCCTTGGGATGAATGTAGCTTCAAGCTGGCTTACAAATGAAGGGGTATCCAGTTCCACTATTTACATAGGTTTTCAGGCCATACTCTCTTCTTGATTACATTGGTGTTGATTCACATAAACACACTTGAATTGTTCAGAGTTATCTAACATTTACAGCGGCATGCCACAAGGATATGTCCTAAAGCACATTGCACAAGAGACTTGCAAGGAGCAAGTGTTACAGCAGAGTTCCTTTTTGGAGTAAACCACTGGCTGTGTGCACAGGATGAGGGATGTGTCTCAAAGCAGTTGGAAACAGCTCCACAGTCTTGATGGATTGCAGCTTAACGTTAAAAAAACATACAGAAATGACCACTGCAGTTTTGCTCTCCAGACTCTTCAATCTGGAAGAAGTGGAAACAATATCCTGTTAGAAAATGGCATGTATATAATGAAGTAGGGGATTCAGCTGAGTTCTCCCAGACCTTGATGTGGGTATGGCAACAGATAAGGATGATATCTATCAGCCTGGAGGGGAGGGAGATGTTTGCAGATGAATACTGATAGATCTCTGGTGCATAACTATTGCTGGCGGGGGAGAGCAGGCTGAAAGGGAAGCAGCCGAAGCTCCCTAGTGAGAGCAATGGCCTCTGCTGATTGCTGTGATAGCTACTTTCACACAGCAGCACTCTGGCTAGAGCCAGCCTCAAGTGCAGTGATGCTGTTAATGCATCTTAGATGGTCTTCATGGCAGTGCATGGAAGATCACAATTAGCCAGAGTTATAACCAAAGCCAGTGTTGGTGACTGTTAGAAATGGTTGGTACTTGGGACCCCTGCAAAGTGCAGCATGTTGGGTTTTTGGGAGATACCATCAGTGTAATAGTAGTAGATGGGTCACATTTAATCCTGTCTGCTCCTCAGGACTCTGGGAAATGCATGTCAGAACAGGTTGTGGTGAGTGTGAAATTGTGCTGGGCGTGCATAATGCTGCTCATCAGACCCCCCTCTGTGACTAATCACAAAAATCTATTGCATATTCCAAGAAATTAGTTGGAGAAGCAAGCACATACAGGAGAAATAAAGAAAAACCAGAAGCTTAGGCACAGGCAAAGATAAGGACTTTGATCACAGCGGTTCAGTGGGTACAGAAAGAAGACAGAGAAGAAAAAACAAGTTGGTACTGCTGCTGCCAGCAGAGACTACTAACCCAGCAGGCTCTTTCTTCATACACTTGTTGTACTGGTATTATTCCTATCTATTGGCACGGAACCAGATTCATGGTCTCTCTGACTAGATACTAGGAAAGTTTCTTTACTGAGAGGGCGGTAAAACACTGGAACAAGCTTCCCAGAAGTGGTCATGGCCTGAGTCTGTCAGTGTTTAAGAGGCAACTGGTAAATGCCCTTTGTGACATGCTTTAACTTTTGGTCAGGCAGTTGGAAACTATCCAGTAGCATCTTGATGCCAGTTAGGAGCAAAAAGAAGTTAGGAGCATCTGTGTCACTAGGATTAAATCAGAGTAACTCCTTGAATTTAAGAGAAAAAGCAGCCCAGCCTTACCTGTGCTCTTAGGGAAGAAAAAACAAAAGAGCATGCAGAGAAACAAAAAAGATGCAAGGGCAGAGATGGTATCAGTGCTTATTGGGTTGACTGCATGGCTGCTGGATGAAGTTTCCCTCTGGAATGTTGCCTTTCAGAAAACAATGCAACAAAAAAGAAAAAGTTCCCTTTCCCTTTCATCCCAATCAAAGCAGGAGAGCAGGTCTCAGCATTGCTTTAACCTTTGTTTTCAACAGTAGTTTCTATTTTTCTCCATGGTTGTATTATCACACTCCATAAACACTGGGAGAAGTCAGTTGGAGCAGTGAAAACAAACACAAGCCTGTTGCTTTGGGCCCCACCTCGTTGTTTCCTTTTGTACAGCACAGGCACACTGCTTCCAACTGAAGCTGTGGTCTCCCTTTGCACAGATGAAACCCTGTGGGTTTATCAGCACCATCTCTGTGCCCCCTGAGTCTCACTTTCCATATGGAGGTGAAGCTATGGCAGGCAGAACCCTCCAGGGCAGGTGAGATGCTGATTCCTGTGCTGTGCAGCATAGATGGTGAAGGATGAGTGCTGAACCACATTACCATCTTGGCTGCTGCCTCCAGCCCTAACCTCCTCCTTGTACACTGATCACTTCTCAATTACCCCATGCTCCAGTGCTGTCCTTTCTGCATGACTATCCAGGATGGGGCAGATGATATCAAGTAGGCGCCCCTGCTGAGAGCCCAGGGTAACAGACACAGGGATCTGGTAGTCCAAAGTGAAGTCTGTAGTGTAGCTGTTTGTGTATCCCATATAACACTGCATTAGTCACTAGATTGGATATTGAATCTCTGAGTCTCATCCTTCGTATTACCTATATTTGCTGGAACAGAAAAACTGCTTGCTTGGCATTTGTACTGCTCCAGTCCCCTGTACTGGTGCTGATGGTTGCAAATCCACTGGATGATGACAAGGGCAGCTCCATTCCAGAGCAGGTCACAGCTGAGTGCTGTAACACATATGGTTCTTCATAATTACATTACAAAAGTTAGTTTTGACAGCTCTTTTTGAGTGGCCCATGAAAATGGGAGTACTTATTAGAACAGTATGTGTAAAATGGATCAAATAGCAAGGAAATACATGGTGATTATTCCTACGCTGCAAGCTGTTCATTTTCCTTCACTATGGTTGGAACCCATGTGTTAGAATTAGATCACCTTATCCAGACAAAACACTTTCTTCCCAGGGGAGCTTACATACACCCACAGCAATTTTAAAGGCTTACTGAATACTACAATTTGCATTTTTCTTAGCACTCTCCTGGTCAGTTTAGTTTCACTGCCTGAAACTCTCTCTTCTAATCTTGCTGTATTATGTTCAGTGGCATGTCCATAGCATGTTTAGCACGAGCTTTTCATCTTTCCCTTGTTCTTGCAGCCTCACAAACTGGAAAGCAATCAGACACATCCCCAAACACATGCATTAATGTATGCTACAGCTGGATGCCTCTCGCTTAAGTCTTGTTTTCAGCTTTTTCAGTTCAGCATTTTTATCAATTTTAAGCCCATAGGCTGTGATCTCCCAGGCCTCCTCATAATGCTGCATTTCAAAGTGATATTGGGCAACCTTAAGAAATGCTTTGGTTAACATTTCACTGCCAGGGCCATTCATGATGCTGCATAATGCCACAGATTCATCCAGCTTCAGTGCCTCGATATACTGCTTAACTGCTGCTTCCTCCTCAGCCACTGACAGCAGGAGGTGTCCTTTGGAGCAGTGGTCCTCAGCGCGTGTTTGCAGACTGCTCCGGCTGTGCTGCTGGATCACCTTCTCCAGGTCTTGTAAAGCTCTGTCGTATCTTTTCAGGTGCATGAGGCAAGCAGCCCTCTGTCGAAGATACCTTGGGCTATCTTTGGTTGCTAAAGCAGCAAGGGTATAATAACCAAGAGCCTTCTCATAGCTATGCTCTTTAATCAGCACATTTCCTTGCTGGGCTGCTACCTGTGGACAGAAAGTAACTTAATATTAGTTATTAAAAGTGAAATCCCCTGAAATATATGGTCTGGACTGGGCACACGTAGACACAGACACTAAGAAATTGAGGATACTTTCTCAAATGTTGAAGTTGCATCTAGTTAGAGAACATGTAATTGGCACATATCTTCACATGCAGATAAATCCTGGATTTATGGGCACTTTCTTTTCTCTCAGGAGTTTCCAAACCACTCTTTGTGCAGGTTTTGCTAAAAGTTCATAGTGTTCTCTTCATGAAACCACGTTTCTGCCACGTTCTGCTCCAAAAGTGACTAGATGGAAACTCATCTGCACATACTGCCCACAGACATTTGCATGCACTGATTATGAAGGCTGGTGTCTACTGAAGCTTCCCCAGGCTATAGGAAAAAAAAGCCAACTGATGGCTTTGCTAATCGTGACTCTCAAGTGCGAGTCTGCCCTTATCTGAAGGGGAAAACAACAAAATAGAGAAGGCAGAAAAAGCCACAAAAACTCAGGTTCACAAAGATCAAAGAAAACTCCATTAGAACTATTTGCCTCAAATGGATTTTTCATTATTTCTCTTTACTGGTAATAAATAAAGCTTTTAACATGCTGCAGGAGAGCGGATATTTAACAAGGCTGCCACCAGCAGCTTAGCTCTTATAGAAAGCTGAGACAAACAAGCTGAGCCTTCAAGTTTGCTCTCATTCGTGATTTAAAGGGGCTGAGCTGGGGCTCATTTTGGGTGTATAACACAGATTAATTAGCATCTTCCTTTCTCATCATCTTCCGAACAAAGTATGAAGACTTAGGGAAAGAAAAATAGGAAGGGCATGGAAAGCCAGAAGGTTATTACACAAGTGAGTTTAGCTGCTCTCTGCGTGTGGCTTTTGAGAAGCACTTTGCCACCAGCCTCCTTGCAGGTGACTTTGGAAGGCCAAGAGCAGGCTGTGTAGTCCATTCAGAGGTGAACTGCAGTCCATGTTCACACTGCTGATGACTTCCAGACTGAAATAATTCTGGTGCCATCTGGAAAGGGCCACGAGTGACTGGGCATTGGACTGCTTCCTGGATTAGGTCTCTGTGTTCCTTTCTACCATCTAATTACCTCACTGTGTAATCAAGAACTGAAAATATCCCTATTTGGTGCATTTGTGGTTCCAGTCCCTAGTGCCTAATCTTGTGTTGAAATTGGCCATGGTTTACCTCCTTAGAAAGAGAATGAGGAATTAGGAGTTTAATGGACATGGAGTTATAGCCAAGATTTAGTGTCTGGGCAGTAAATTCCAGAAGATGGCCTGATAAGCACTGGGCTTTCGAAGTGGACTGGATGTTTTCAGAAAAGTTCAGAGCAAGTCTTTTCTTCTTTACCTGCAGACCTTGTTTGGGGTCCATATCCCATGGAATGGCAACTTTTGCATTGGGCTGAGGGCCTAATTCTCTCACACACCATATATAGCTTTCATAGGAAGGAGCTCTGGATACCCTATGGCATGTCAACAGCCAAGAGAGAGCACAGCTCTGAGGATCTGGGCAAGCAGCTAGCAATCAGTCATGCATTTAACCCCTGACATAGGAAACTGAAGGGTTGAAGCTGCACTAGCAGCAAGCAAACTCCCTTCCTCTGACCTTTTGCAGCTTAATAAATCTTTCAGGTTCCTATTCCCATGGGGCTCTCCCAGTTGTTTACAAATTTCTTAGCATGGGACCCCTTTAAACTATAAATAATGCAGGTGGTTCATTGCTTTGTTCTTCATGGAGTACATGAAGGAGCTCTCCTTCCTCCACCCTTTCCTATTCAGCTCTTGGAGAACTATTTTTAGCTTTTCAGATCAGACTCCAGGATAATGATGACACGTTGCTATAATGCCTGTAATCTCCAAACACTCTAGAACAATGTGACAGCAACGCTTTTGTACATGGAGTGCTGAGATGAAGGGCTGAGCCTAAACCAGTAAACTCTTCTTTGCTTAAGTCTCTTTACTTGTGACATGGAGGGAACAGCAAGAACCACCTCCTCTGGAGTGTCATTAGGAGGCCTGGCAAAGCCAGGCCATCCCTGGGCACTCATGCTGTCTGTAAGCTTTCTCTTCTTTTACTGAGAACTTCCTTTCACCCACGAACTGCCATAACCTTGCAGGCAGAAGGAAGTGCTGCTGGGAAATCCTCTGAGACACTGGGCAGGTGAATTAACCAATTCCTTCCCCAACCCAGCAAAGTCCATACTTATCCCCTGGTCACAAAATACATGGAGAAAAAGATTCTGGGCTGATCAGCTATAAAAGTAATCACAGCCATTGACTCTTTTAGAGCACACCAACAGGCTGCTGGTGCCTGAGTCCAAGTGCTCACTCACTGCACAAAGGCACCAGATTAAAAAATGAAAAGGACTCTATTTGACTTCCAGCACTGGGGCTGAGCTCCAGCCACCCTTATCCTCCTGAGCAGGAGAGGAATCTGTCATGATAAATGAGCCACCAGACCCTGCTCCACAGCTGCTAAAAAAGACAGAAATAAAGTGCCTCTAACCTGTTAGAGGTTCCAATAACCCGTGGCACCATCACTGCAGTGTAACTGTACACTTATTAGTTTGTCTGGGGTTTTTGATTCTCTTTTTTTCCTTCCTGACAGCATAAGAACATCCCTCCTGTGTTTGCTCAGAAAGCAGCACAGATGGACTGAGCTGTGACTTCCACACAGAACAAGTCATGTGGCAGCAAGGGAAATTCAGTTGTAAAATGTATCTTCACTTGTAGACACCTCCTTAGGGCCTCCTTAAACACACTCTTGATTGTATCTTTATCAACTTTATATAGTGAAAGATTGCAAATTGGCTCTCAAATCTTAAAACTCTTCCCTGTAATTACCAGAAGAGAGGGGCTCTTTTCTCTGTGATGGGGTTTATCTAGGGACCAGCAAATTAATACTTGTTTACTTATATCCTCCTGCTGTTTTGCTCACAAAGCACTCTTCTCAAGATACATTAAGTATAGCAGCATGTTGCTTGTTTTATAACCTGGGAGAAAGCATAACAATATAGCTTCTCAACAGGGTGCACACGATCTACAAATTGAGAAAAGAAAGCAAACTGATTCTCAGAACACGGAGCTTCTGAGTAATCAGAATTGCAGATGCTTGAGTGAATGTTAAAACTCCTCACCATCAATCTGACCTTGTCCTGTTGTATTACTGGAGGTGTTTTCTCAGAGCTGGATGGACTTTGGGGTAGAAAGTTGAAGAAAATACTGAAAAATCCATACTTTGTGGACTAGAACAATGTGCCATTTTTGTGTCAAAGGGTTTCAGCTGAGAAAACCAATGTCAATCCCAAAGCCTCATCGTTTTATACAAATACATTTACATTTCTAACTGTTATACAAAAGAGCAAAAAGAATTGAAGCATTTAATGTGACTGAATCAGAACCCTGAGTTTAATTTCAGCAAGAAAATGAAGAAAGATAAATTCCCCTTCCCCAGAAGGCAGCTATGAGCACTGTGTAACTTGCACAGAGAACAGCCGAGCAATGATCTTGCTAAAGCTCCAGCTGCTGCCCCTCGCATCCCATGCATTTTAGCGTTGGGATTAAATAGGTCTCATACCAGGAGACCAAGGAGAAATTCCCCCAAGTGGCATGAAGTGGTAATGATGAATTAGAGACTGAAGCAAGGTCACTGCACTAGAAGTCTGGCTGGATTCAGCTCCCTGATCTTGCTGGAGTGAAGGCTGGAGGAAGAAGCCAATTTGTTTCTCGTGCCTCTGATAAATGGTCTTCCCACACACTTCCATTCAAGACAAGGCAGGGAAAATCCCTGCAGCCTTGCAGGATCACTTCCCATTTCTTTCCCCACTGAATGCACCCATGTGGCATCGAAAACGGATTGTACCTGAGCAAGGTGCTGCCGTTGCTTAGCGTCTGTGAAGTTCAGGAGAAACCCCAGCTCCCTTTCATCTCTCTTAGCCAGGACACTGAATGAGTGAGCTGCTGCTGTCACATTCCTCCTCTTCAGCTGCAGCACCGCCAGCCTTGCACGAGCAAAGTCATCAGCAAGAGAGCAGCCAAATGCTTCCTGGAGGTGTTTCAGGGCCTCTGCATACCTTCCTGGGGGTTAACATCAGTACAAGCTATATCACTGATTCCATGTGGAGAGAGAGGCATCAAGAAAACTTACTAAAGCAGGATTTAAGTAGCCTGTCCACTGTCCACACCCAAGGGTATTAATTACATCATACCCTTTCCCAAAACATTTGCAAACTTCTCTTGAAAAGTACTCTACAGCAGTACTTTTGCCATTTAACACTGGCTTTCTTTCATTCCCTTACTCTGAGCAGCAGTGTGAAAGAACTGGAACTCACCATCTGCAATTAAAACATCTGTGTAGAAGATGTGGTATGGTGCATCCCTGTCAATTTTAATGAGTGCTTTTGCAAGCATGAGAAGATCCCTGTGGGTTTCTTCTTTTGAAAGGTCTTTAGTAGCAACAAGCTCAATTAATGCAGCCCTGCCATACTGAAGGAGCCACTGAGTGATCAAACCTTGGGCTTCGTGCTTTAAAGCCAGGATTGCTGGGATCACAGCTCCTGCCTCCACCTTCAGGGCTGAGATCAAATCTTGCACTGCTTCCTGTGTGAAAACAAGGCCAAAAAATGAAATGGCACAATAACTATGAACTGATAATTTTTTCTTTTAGGTGTTTTCAGTTCTTTGTTGTCCCACAAGTCATCTGCACACCTTTGGAAGCTCTTTGCTCTTCTCTGTCCTTGTGATGCATTGTTATCATTTGCAAAGCTGATATAAGAGCATAAGGACAGGTTCGAATGACTATTTGCAGTGTTTTGAACTCAGATTATCATTGAAAAAACATCTTAGATCAACAAGGAGGAGATGCTGTGAATGAGTAAGTGCAGGATTTGGGCCAGCCAGGATAAACCAGCACAAATCACACAATCAGTGGTGTGATATGCAGGTAAAATGTAAGGCTACTGACCATATTAGAAGCAGATAAACCATACAGACATCTGACATGATTTGCAGGCAATGATATACTGCAATCTCCAAAGTCCACTGTAAAACTAATTGTACACATAAGCTTTCATAGTTGATGGAGAGGGACTCACTGAACCTTGAAACTGTTCTTTCTTTCTCCTCTTGTTGTTGCTACATTTCATCTAATGCAACATCATGTCCTGAAAATGTGAAATCAAATATAAGGGAGAGTTTGCTGCATTGCAAATCAATGCATGGTAGTGCCAGTAAGAGCTATGATTAAGGTTTTGTTTTCCTCTCTCTAGACGTGGGAAAGCAAATCAGTAAGGTCAGGTGGACTACCGATACACCAGCCAAAGCAAGAGCCTTTCACTGTCCAAAGTCTTTGGTAAACTCATTTGATTTCAGTGAGTCCATGAAAAAGCTGTGGTACCTTACACTAATACTGCTTAATACCATCAGAAATACCACCACCAAATCAATATATGATCATACCTTCTGCTGCTTCAGAGCAAGGTAAATGAATCCTCGTCCACTCAGAGCTTGCACGTTCCTAGGGTCCTCCTTTAGGATAGCATTGAAATCAAAAATGGCAGTTTTCTTCTGACCAAGGTGCCCATAGCACTGAGCCCTGATGAGAAGGCAATCTTCAGCATAACCCCCTGGAGAACAGAAATGCAGCCATGCTTACTTGGAGTGTGTGACAACTATAAACGCCACTGAAGTGGCCAAGTGCAAATGATGTGGTAGACCTTCATGTTGTGTTGTGGTGACTGCAGGAGTGACAAGTAAATATTCAGAGCTGTGGTGGAATAAGAGATGTGTGCTGGGTGGAGGCAAATGTGCTCTGGTAAGGAACTGCAGTCCACAGATGTGACAGGAAGAAGCATGAGGAGGGTGCTGGAGAAGATATCCAGGGATATCCAGATGAAGCTGTAGGAAAATGCTACTTTGCTTGATAAAGTATATGAGAGTACTTAAGTGATAATTTCCTTTGTTTCTGTTGCCAGTGGAATTGCTGATGCATACCCTTAACTGTAACTGTCCTACTGTGACTCAACTCTAACTTTCCAGACAGGAACTCTACTGTGCCAGGCACGCCAAAAACACAGACCCCACTTCAAAGAGTCTTCAGGCTGGCTAAACATGCCAGAAGAACATTGTGATAAAAAGCTGAATGAGTGGAAAAGGTAACAGAATGAAAATCATAAAATCACATTGCTCAGCTAGCTCACAAGCTTCCTGCTTTCTAATAAAAACACATACATATGTCCATCAACACTCCCTCCTCAAATATCCATGACTGCTTTTCTGATTGCCTCTTGTCTCAGCAAGAGTGGGACTCCTCAGGAACAGCCAACGGAAGCAAAAGGAGTGGTCTGCAGTTATAAAACACTCAAACTTTCTATGCAGGCCAGTGTTTCTCTGCCTCCTCTGGCATACCCAGGCTCAGCTAGCTGACAGGGCAGAGGATTCCTTGTTTGCCACTTGTCACCAAACTGCTGCTGTGAATTTTTGAGGTCTGCAAACCTTTGTCCTTTGCAATTCTGCCATAAGGTCTGCCAGGTATTTTTAGGGGACCTCTAAAAGACAGTGTTGTGACGCTGCTCTGGAAAGCAGCAAAAGGAAAATGAGGGAATGTTTTCGTATCTGCACATCTACCCCTCCAACACACTTTTCTCTAAGACATTATTAATGTGCAGCAACTGGAGACAACTTACCAATGGCATGACCATCACCTCAGGACCTGAGCTGGATTAGGATCCAACTAGTTAGAAGGAACCCTTGGGGATTTTGTTAGGAAGGAATAGGAGGAGCACAAATGAGAGAAGAAAGCATCTGCTCTAGCAGGTGGGGACTGGATAAGCTGGAATGCCTGGGCTGTGAAATGGAACTAGCTCAGAGCAATTAACAGTTGTTTTTTTTCCATTTTCATAAACCAATCTCTCTTTCTTCTCAATGCTGTTGTCATAACATTTGCTTGGAGTGAGAGGCACATTTCCATACGAACATGGTTTTACTTGGAACATGCCAGGCGCATTTCCATGTTAGCCTGATCTTGCTTCTTAGGAAAAGCTAGGATAATGATGCATGATGTTGGAACAAGAAGGCAGGTTGTTTGCTGCAGTGACTGTTCATTCGCGTGAAATAGGAGGTACCACGTACATTTCATTGGTAGGAAGGTGTTCAGGGGACAAAATTCTCCTCTCATTTATCACCAGTTTGGCTTTGTTCTCTTTAGGAAACGATTATACTGTACTTTCAAAGAAGCTTTAATCTCCTTCTAGATCAAGTTTCATTTTCTGGGAAACATTTCAGAGTTACAGTAGTGCAACCTAGCAGCTGGACACCAGGATCTTGACATTACTCAGTTATCTGTGTGCAGTCACTTACTGAATAATGAAGTTCTATAGAAGGAATAATAATTCTGTAGTAGTTTCTTGAGACTTCCCTGTATTTTGAGCATGTATTTGTTGCTATGATAAACAGCCTCCCTACATTATGTACAGAAGAATCCCCCTGCCAATCTGCTTTTCCTTGACCAACAGAAGCACATCATTACACTGCTTATCCTAAAAGGGTCTTTTTTAAACCACAGTAAAGAAGGAAAGCATAGGACTTAAAATAGCTCTGGGAATACATGTAGTAAAGTGCACAGAGGACATACATTGTGTTTCCTAGCAGGATGTTGATAACCCTACCTGAAGCAATAATGGCAAATGAAAGGTAGGCAATGGCCTCTTTGAGGTCAGCATCCTCCTGTTTGCTCTTCAGGATAGCCAGTGCTCTGAAATGGCAGTGAGTTTGCATCAGCTTCCTGTCTTCATCTTTGAAAATGTCCATGATTGGCAGGAGGCAGGAGGTATCTCCTATTCTGATCACTTTCTTCAGCAGCTTAACAAAGGAAGAGAAAAAGGAAGAAGAGAACGATTGGCATGAAGGGAGAAATGAAGATATGCTAAAGCTGGAAATATTACTGTCCTTTTGTATGCTTCTACCCAGTGCTTCCCCACCTTTCACTGGGGCTTCATCTAGCCAAGGACCGTGGATCTCTTTTACTTAACTTCTCAGCTGGCCCCACTGTAAAAGCATGTTGGAGAAAAGACTAATTCATATCTTCTCCCACCACCACTGCAGTTGTGGAAATCATTCTGGGGAAATACAGAATGCTGCCTTGCTTACCTAGGGCAGCATTAGCTCCTTTTATAAATACACCTGAACCGCAGGATGCTTGCCCCAGAGACAGTTTCTGTGGAACAGAAGCATTCCAGTGACCCCTTTTGGCTGTAAATTTGAAACCAGTGAATTTAGGATTGCTATTGGGAATGTGGAAAAAGTGTGAAAAGAATCTGGCCTGACATATGGTATCTTTGTCTCCATTCACTAGAGTGAAAATCGCCCAGCATTTTCTTACTAGATTTCCTAAAGAGAGGAATTAAAAGGCGTTTCCTGCAGTAAAGCAGATGTGCTTAGCAGGTTCTCAGTATTCAAATCTGGGGCAGGCCAAGAACAAAGTTATCCTGATGCACCAGCCACATGCACTGAATGCATTATTTTTATCAACAGAACAAGTGTTTGGGTGCTGACAGGCAGGGACACAAAAACATTCTGAAGACAAATTTTTGGTGACAGATGTTCCAGCTAGAACTTGCAGCAGAAGCTGCAGACAAGAATGCAGCTTCCAGGGGCAATGGGGGTTGGAACTTGATGATCTTAAGGTCCTTTCCAACCCTAACTATTCTATGATTCTAATAAAGTCATGTCATCCATTTACAGCCTTCCCAAGGGTAGCAAACTGTACACAACTCTTATTTGTCGTAAGGAGTAGGGAAGTGCTGACGAGAAAACCTTTCTCTTTGTGCCAGCAGAATGGATATGGAATGTTAAAAAATGCAATAGTTCCCTCTGATGGCAGAACCCGGTAATTCAGCCTTGCAATCCTTGGGCGGAATCTCTTTCATGGTTTGAAGCACAAGTCATTAGCCACTAAAGAAAGAAAACTGCAGACTGATATTTGAGCTTCTGGTTCTGTTTCTTTCTCCTCCCCACCTCTACAATGCTCCATTAGGATAATCAGGCAGGGAGTAGTTCTGCCTTCTTTTCTCTAGGGGAAAATTACCAATCCCATCAATATTGTCCCCAGGGGCAGGATGCTCAGTCATGCTCTACCTAGTTAAAGTCTCTGATGAGAAGTGCCATTAAATAGCATATGATAAATGGGCTGTATTTAGCTAGGAGTCCTGTGTGGCCGGTGCTACAGACAGAAGGTTCTTACATATGTGGCCTGTATTTAGATCTTAAAGGTTCTGCTAGAGGTTGAACCTCGCCTTCAAGTTTCACTGTGTCAACAGCCCTCCCTCACTGTTGCTATTCATGAATTTTGCTTCTAACAGCAAACTGCTCAGTTTTAAGACGGAAATGCACATGGACCACTGAGCATGGTAGTGTAATAAGTAATTTCATTACAGTCTGGGTAAAAGCAGTATCAAGTCAGGTCAAATGCAGCTATTTCCTATCTGTTTCAAAGACCTCTGCCCAGTTCACCAGCATTCCTGAAAAATGATTGAAGCACATTTTGGGGTAGGTACAGCTCCTGGAAAACCCATCACAGGTTGTGTGATGGGGTGGGTTCCAGCTCTACAGCATGTGATAAGGTGGCCTCACAGTGCAGTTTGTACCTGAAGCCTTACAGTTGTCATGTAACATTGAGGAGCAGGAGGCAAGCAGAGCATTGTGCTGGGAAACCAAAAGCCCTTGGAACACTCTGTGGCAAGACTACATCTCTAACGTGATCCCCTTAAGTTCTACCATGCATCTCACCCTCTTCCCTGCTCACTCATCACTCTGTCATGCTCTCTGGCAGCTCCTTACCTGGTTGCCATCATACATGAAACCTTTCTTCAATTGCAGAAGGGCGAGTCTAGCCAGGATGGGAGACCGCTGTGGATTTCTGGAGAGTGCTACCAAGAGGAGCTTGTGAGCTTCTTCTGCACGGCCTATCTGGTACAGGGCATCGGCACAAAGGATCCGTGATGCTTCATCAGAAGTGTCCAGCTCCACCAAGAGGGAAGCCAGCTGGTAAACCCCAGGGGCATCTCTGGAGGAAAAAACAAAAGAATAAAAAGGGAAAGACCATACTCAAGGAAAAAACTCACTACTTCTAAAAACTCAGGCTGTAATGGATTTAGCTGGAATAGTTCAGTGTTCCCACCTCAGATCTCCCAGCCTTAAATATGACATTCATACAGTTAGCATTGAAAAAAGCATTTGGATTGCCAGCACCAAGTATGTGCACAGTAGCACCTCACTTCTGTCTTGGAAGGACACTTTCTAGGGGTTTGGTACTTCATGGCCCACCAAATCTTTCAGTTCAGAGCTGAGAGCAACCAACAAACTTGTATTATTATGGGTTTAGCTATAACTCTGAAGGAGAAATCTGTCATATTCCCACCAGAATTTCGCATTTTCCTAGCTAAGGCCAATTGGTGTATTGTGGATTAGCTTCCACTGAAAGACTGAACTGATTTGGCTATGTGGATCCTATCACAGTATTTTGCTGCAATAACCATACCCATGTCATTTTATTTCAACCTGTTATGTTAAACAGGAACTTTAAACGGGTCTGTATCCTATTCACAGTTAGCTGAAGCAAGTACTCTCTCTACAACTCAAGCCTCTCTCTTTCTGTTAAGAATCTACACAGTCCTGTTCCTTTTTCTGCCCACAGGCTGAACGACTTCCTGAGTACCTCTTCATCTGGAGCATCTTCTGCCCTTCCTCTTGGAGGACTTTCAGCAGCAGTCCTCTTTGGTTCCACGGCACATAGGACTTGATTGTGAAGATGGTTTCCTCCAGCTTTAACTGACAAGCTGTGATGTAATCCAGGGCTGTCAAGTAATTGCTGCCACCAGAAATCCGGGTAAGTCCACGCCCACATAAGGCTTTAATACAGCTGTTAGGATGTGGGGAATGGTGTTCAATGACCCTCTGAAAGTCCTGCAGGGCTTGCTGATGGTCCTGAGTGTGGAGGGAGCAGAATCCTCGCAATGCTAAGAGAGTATTATAGTAAGTTTTCTGCTCTGCTGTCAAGAGGTGGTCACAGATATCCCGGGCAGTCCCAATGTGTCCATGCAGGAGATGGCAGTCAGCCAGCCGAACACTGAGTTCACGTTTGGAGCCTGGGGAGATCTGGAGGAGGAACTGGACTGTCTGGATAACAGAAGGGAGCAGTTCAGTACCATGATTGCCTCTGAGTTCAGTCCGAGTACGCACAGCCTCCCTGTAGGCTGCAAACTTCATCTCCAGGACAGTTCTAGCCTGCTTTTCTATCCTCTCAGTGTCGTGTGAAGAGAAAAGCTCTTTAAAATGTTTCATTGCCTGGGCAGGTGCTGCTGCAAAGGCTTCTGCTAAATCCTGCACCATTTCTTGCATCCTTCCACCCAAGAAGAAATAAGCAGCAGCCCGTTCCAAGAGCAGACCCAAAGCTTTCTCATCTCTCAGATTATTATCAGATGAGAAACCCTTGAGGGCCTTGCTACAAACTGCCACACACTCCTCAAATTTGCTTTTCTTCAAGAGGTAAGCTGCCTGCACCCCGCACACCCAAATATCATCCGGTGCCAGTGCAGCCAGGAAGTCATAGCAGTTGCCCAGCCACTGGTCCAAGGAACTGCTGCCTGGGCTTTCCTCCTGATATGTTAAGAGATAATTAGAGAAGGCCTGGATGACCTGTGGCAGGTGATCCCTTTGCCTGGTGCACACATAGGCCACTGCCTCAGCCCTATGCGTTGCAAAGGCTTGGATATAATCCACAATTCCCTTTCTGACTTGTGTCCCTGACAGCACCAATGCCAACGCCCGCAGCAGCAGCAGCTCCATTGAGTACTTTGGGTGAGCCTCCAGCAGGATGTTGCATTTACTCACCACCTCCTCTGAGCACCCTCGCCTGAGCAGCGTCTCTAGTTTGTATACTGAGGATACCACGTTGTTGGGACTTAGGGTGGAGAGAAAGATGGCTGCAATTCCCACACTGAGGGAGACAACAGCCAGGTTCTTGCTCTGGATCTTGGGAATCTGGTTCTTGCCTTGGCACCACATCTCCAGAGTGACTATCACTTTCTCCCAGAGGCCTTTGTCTAAGGAGTTCACTTTCTGTACTGCCGTGGGGGCACTGCAGCTGAAGGCAGCCATGTAGAAAGCAGTGGCTATCGGTAGCTCTTGCTGGGCAAGATGGTGGTCCCCTTCTTTGCAGAGCAGTGCTGCAAGCACCTGAGCTGACATGTTCTGTGCTCTTATTTTCACCAAGCAGCATCACACAGGCAGTGTGGCTGGGCCTGTAAGACAAAACCAGCAACATGAGGGGCTCGGAGGAAGGCTGGCTTTTGCTTTCTAACTGACAGACATAAGCAGGCCTAGGCGCTGTAAAAAGCCAGAGCTCTGTCATTGACAGGCTTACAGGGAAGCAAAGCCACAAGAAGGAGCACCACAGAGGTTCTCAGTCCACAGCCGTGAACACTGGCTGAGGAGCAGCCCCACAACCGAGCCAGGGCTCCCAGCACCACCGACTGCGCAGGGTGCGGGGCTGGGCCGCGTCCTCCCCGGCTGCGATGTCAGTCTGGTGTTCAGTTATGGAAGGGCGCAGCAGTGCTGGCGCGGGGCACGGAGGACACAGAAGCTCGCCTCGTGCCTTGCCCGCCATTTGCCTTTTCTCCCTTGCCGCCAAGAGGCAGGGAAGGCGGAACGGAGCGCGCACCTTTCTGCCCCACGAGCCGGCGGAAGGCGGGGCGGGTGCAGGGAGGCCGCTCCAGCCCGAGCCCTTCATTGGGCGAGGGGCCCACAGGGGCCAGGAAAACCCCGGGCGGGGCGCGGCCACGAAGGGCGAAGACCACAAATACCTGAGCGCGGGGGTGGCCGGGCACTAAGAGCGGGACTGGGCCGAGGGCAGGGCCCAGCGCGTGAGCTCCTGCCAGAACCTTCTGCGGCGACTCGGCGTGAGGCGAGGGCTGAGGTGAAGCAACGAGGAGCGAGGTGAGCCGAGCCGAGCCGAGCCGAGCCGAGCCGAGCCGAGCCGAGCCGAGCTGAGGCGAGGCAGCCGTGGACGGGACGGAGAGCAGGGCCGGGCTGGCTGTTGCTTGGAGACCGCAAACGCTGGCTGGCGGGCGGGCGGGCAGCCGCCGCAGGCCTGCGCAGCGCGGGGCGCCATGCCACCATGCCGCCTGCCTGAGGGCACCGGGCTGCCGACCCGTTGTGCCCCGGGGCGCGGCGCTGCGGAGGGCCCGGCCCCGCTGTCGGGCTTCGCGGGGCGGGACGGTACGGGAGGGGACGGGACGTGCTGCTGTGGCTTGGCTTCTTTGTGCCTCCCCTGAGGGCTGGCGGGCTGAGGCGGGGGCGGGCGGGAACAGTAAACCGTTACCTGAGGAGAAGCGTGCTGAGCGTATGCCCCTCGCTGTCGCTGTTACAGTGAATTAGTTACAAAACAGGAAACTCTGTGGTGAACTCTACGTTTCTAATCTTATTTTTCAAGAATAAAGTATTTTTTTAGCGGTAAAGCAGTTACATTTTCCAGCTTGCATAGACTGACGATGTTCCTTTTAAGCCGCGGCCATTTCCGAGCTTCACCTTTTCTCTTATCCATGTTCTTTGACGTTCAAAGGCGAAAAAAAAACCCTCTATGATGAATAGAGTTTATTTGACATTTTATTAGGAGTTTGCCCATTACTTTGATTTGATTATTTTCTCTTTAATTACCCTAATTAGCCATCAAGATATAATTTAGCATTGCTGTCACATTAGGCCACAGGTGATATTACCAAGAAGGACTTGAGGGCATAAAAAGAAACAGTTCTGAAATAGAAATCCCATTAAAAGGAGCTGTGCTGATCAAACCCGTGTGCCTCTTTGCCCCTCCGCTGAGGTTCGAGCACCGCTTGTGGCAACAGAACCGAGACCGGTGCCTTCAATGGGCTGTGGCCAGGCTGCAGAAATCATTACCCCTGATTTGACTTGGCTGCATGACTGAGTGCTGTGGAAGTTGCTTCCAGCCACGTTTTGCCTTGTAGATACAAAGAATGTGGAGGATGCCAATATCCTCCATCCATCATTTCTGGCACAAAGCGTCCTCCTTCAGTCCAGAGTCCAGTTTGCTCCCTGCTACGTGTGTATGGGCTAAGGGACGTTGTTACAACCTATGTAATTGGCCAGAAAGGTAGCAGCAACACAAAGAGATTATCGTTTTGTTTTAGAATTATATAGCAGGTGATATGCGTGCAGCCAGTTTTAAGATGTGCATTAAACTTAAGCTTAGATTAATTTAGGTCCTTAACTTTGATCCTCAAAGGAGTAAGAGAAACAGCATTTACAAAAGCTCGATGCTGATGGAAGAAGAGAACACTTCTGATGGGACTGTGGCCTTTCATACGTGAGGGGTCTGAACAGAGCCCAGTGTGAAAACCTGTTAGTCTAAGTAGTAGAAGCAGCAATTTCACTTAGAGACTCCTGACAGTTTTCTCAAGCCAGCAGACAATTTGCTGTTTGTCCTGTGCTCTGTTTTTTAGGATCATAAAAACATGGGGAGGGAGAATGACACAACTGTGGAGATGTTTATCTAAACATTAAATATTAAGTATGCTGCACATTAAATATTAAGTATACTACAGTAGCTCCTCACAACTTCTCTGATTACTGATAAATCTTTGAAGGGAGGTGGGTGGAGAAGGGGTGAGCACAGCACAAGTAAAGTGCTTTGCAAAGCAGGAGACGCCCTGAGATGTGCTGAGAAATCTTTCACTTAATTCTTTGTTTTAAGGGCTCTCTATGCCTGCAGTGCATGTAACAATGGCCTCACGTCAGGGTTTTTAAATGCTAGGTGTAGTTAGGACATTTGGTACAGGAAATTTGGCCAAAAAAAGAGAATAGAATGAATTTTCTTTGATAGAAAGGAGTGCAATGAGGTGGGACATTAGTAACTTAAAAAGTTTAAAACCTTTGATTTGTTTGGCTTTCTTCACTCTGAGCTGTACCTGGCTTGGAGAGGAAGCACCAACTTCTGCTCTCATTTAGGCTGGTGTAAGGATGCAGGCCAGGGAACGAAGATGGCTTGTATTAAATTGTCTGGGCTGGGTGACTGAACATCCGCAGCATTGAAGTCAAGAAGCTCTGGTGATGTGCTAAGCCACAGGATGAAATTTCATCCCTAGGCATACTTAGTTCCACACCCGCAGTCTGCCAGGAGTTAGACTGCTGTAACTGTTGTCAGACTGAGTTAGGATATCCTTCTCTCGTGAAGGAAAATTGCACCTTTGGCACTGTTTCCCCATGACCACAGCTGCTGCTGTTCCTTTGGGTTAGAACAGCACATGTCAAAGGGAGACCTCTAAGCTTTGTTATTGACAGACTTACTTCCTAACATTGTTTGGTAGGAAAGTGTACATGGAACATTTCAGTGTATTCAAATTCTCAGTCAGCCTTTCATGTGCTGTTCTTTCTACAATATGATAGACTGCTGTTTGGTCAAACTTCTACATGCCAGATAATCGCAGAAGTATAACATGTCCTAGGAAAACTATTAAGATCATTAGATCAAAGCTGAAAGAACCCAATTGATATCTTTATGCACTGGACTATTTTTGTCGGTGCTCACCCAAATGAGAATGATAATGCAAATGATTGCAGGGCTCTTTTGTGGACAGCAGGATTAAGATGCACTTGAGAAAGATTACAAGAAAAATGTTGTTGCTCCATTAGAGAAAGAAATAATCCTTTTGTTTATATTCTTGAGATTAAACCAGTAACAGCAGAAAACACTGAGGTCACCGCACACGCATCCTTTGCTGGCTCAGTTATTGTCTGTGATTTAACTGTGGGATTCAGTAATGCAGTCACATAATTTAATCAGTTCTTTTTTTGTGATATGTTATTTGCCATTTTTATTTATTTAGGATGTAAGCTTTTTTAGCACATCACCAGAGCTTCTTGACTTGAGTGTTTGACTGTCCTGAAGCAGGTATAGATGATGACTGATGAAATCAATAGCAGTTGCACCGTGTATAATTGGGGAGCACGACTAGCCTCTAAACAGGAATGCATTTCAACATGTTGAACTTAGTTTCTCTTGCACCCTAACAATTAGCCAGCCAGGCTGACTCTTCAGCTCGCTCAGCATCTTTGTGTCCACTTGGGAAGTCATCAGAATAGGGTCACTTGAACAAAGTCCTCAATATGCCAAGCAAGTGGCAGTCCTGTCCTTTCCCCTTTCACCTACCCCAATTACACTCTCTGCTTCCATTCTTCCCAGTGTAAAATGGCCATTATAAAATTTCTTTTTTGTGATGTGATTTTCCCTTTTGAGCCAGATCGTGCCTGGTGTGATGGGCTGAATCTTGGAAGGGATCTCCAGGCAGTGCTGTAACATGAAGAATAACAAACAGTGAGGTATAAAAAAATGAAGCTGTTACAGTATCTCAGTAGATATGCTGCCAACTCAAATTAAACAGTGTTAACCAGCTCACTTTATTCCTCCTCTCTTAATATTGATACTTACTGCTTTTATTTTGTCTTTTCAAACAAACAGGGATAAGAAAATGTTGTTAAGGGATAACTTATTTGGTCTCCAGCTCATATTGGTTTGAACTAAGTTTATCAACCAGCCGTGGAAACATTAATCACCCAGAAAAATAGCACATGGTGAAATGACTTTTCAAAATGTCGTTGGTATAATTATCATCTTGGCCATTACATTAAATGCCACCATTTATAACTGTTATGTTTAAGTATGCAAACAGTAATTAACTTGGTAATGAACTGAGGACCCCTGTGCCTCTCTTCCCCCAGCTAATTTGCATGTTAATTATCATTAGCAACCAGGGAAACAAGTTATAAACAGCTTAATTAGCAGCTTAATCATTTTTACAAGAAAACGTGCTGCACTTTGATACATGAGCAAGAGTTAGATTAATGAAGTCAGATGAGCGTGGCTTTTCCTTGCTGTTCCCGCTGCAGCAGCGTGCTTGTGCTTGGGCATTGTGTGGATAATGGATGCGTGCACATGAGTGTGCACACACTCAGGGTTCAGGTGTCTGTCCTTCCTGGTAGAAGCAGGCATTGCTTCTGCAGAAGGCTCCGTCAGTCTTCTGAAAGATACCACCCTTCTCTCTTATGTGTAGTAGTAAATAGTTATGTTAAATAGACACTAGAATTCAGCATGATCAACCAAACTGCTGTGAGGCATGTTTTATAACAACCCTTGTATAATCCCATTGGTTTTAGGTGCTCTGCTGTGATTTGATTCCACCTGTAATGTCTGCTGTGTCAGTTGGTCCCAGCTTCAAGCAAGACAGGTGTTCAGGCTCGCTGATGGTGGTGTTACACCAGTTAGGGCTTTTGTGTTTTAGGCTAGACTTTAAAGTTGAGGGCCGAGCAGCATTCACTGTGAATGCCTTAAGTGATTCTGAAGTTTATAAGAAAAAATAATTTGCTTTTTTTTTTTCTTGGTTGTTTCCTT